TATCTTGAGCCAAATGCTAGCCCAGTGGTTCTCAACCTTCCTAATGCCGCGACCCCTTAATACAGTTCCTCATGGTGTGGTGACCCCCAACCATACAATTATTTTTGTTGCTACTTCATAACTGTAATTTTGCTATTGTTATGAATTGTAATGTAAATATCTAATGTATGCAGGATGTATTTTCATTGTTACAAATTGAACATACTTAAAGCATAGTGAATCACAAAACAATATGTAATTATATATGTGTTTTCCAATGGTCTTAGGCGACCCCTGTGAAAGGGTTGTTTGACCCCCAAAGGGGTTTCGACCCACAGGTTGAGAACCGCTGCCTTAAGGGCAAAAAAACCCTGTGTCTTGATCTTTTAATTCCCAGGGCCTAGCATTCAGATAGATAGCACACAATGAATATGGAAGGAAAGAAGGAAGGGACTTCTGCAAAGTCACACAGCTATTCAGTAGAAGAGGTAGGATTCAAATCCAGATCTCCAGAGTATTTTTAAGTGCTGTACCACATTTCTCCGAGTTGGCTATGGAAGTAAGAATTTAAACCTTTCATTTAATGCAAGCTTCATTTATTGGATTTTTTTCCTTTCATGGCTTAATGAAACCTCTTGACACTATCAGGTAAATTCAAATATCAAAAATACTTAGTAAAGATAGTTTGAACACTTATGGATTAAGTAATCCATAAATTTTTGGCAAATTACACTATACACAATTGATCTTATCTAGTGTTAATTGCTGGCATTACAGATACAAATGTCAGTAGAGAATTACTCACTCAAGATAAAACAGCAGTAGGCCCACTAAAGCCAACCAAAGAATGCTTAAACTGCCAACCAAGCACCTCAATTCAGATAGGCAGGAAAAGGTCTACTTTAACATTTCTTTCATGAATCATACAATTATCCAAGATAACAAATCTGTGTTAAGATCCTTATGGAGCAAAAGAACATCTATCATCTCGACCAGTGAGTCACATCAGGAAATATTTGAAAGGTCATCTCATTTCTATGGTCATGTGTAGATTAATTAAAATGCTTTCTACTATTCTGGACTCTAGTTTTTCCCCATCCCAACTCTATATACTGTTGCCCAGTTCATCTTAGCTGTGTGACCTTGGGCAAGTCACTTAACTTCTCAGGGTCTGTTTCCTCAACTGCTAAATGAGGGGGCATGGCAGGGGTATCCATCTCCAGCACAGCAGCCCTTTTAGAAATCATGGCCTATCTAAAACTTGGTTTGAAAAAAGAGTTCTGCTACAACAAAAAGTTTAAGTATAATTACACTTACATGATTTCTAATGGTCCTTCCAGTTCTCCTAAACTAAGATTTTATGAAAATCTTCTATATTGCCCTAGCTGGTTTTGCTCAGTGGATAGAGCGTCAGCCTGTGGACCGAAGGGTCCCGGGTTTGATTCTGGTCAAGGGCCCATGCCTGGGTTGTGGGCTCGATCCCCAGTGTGGAGTGTGACCTTCCAGATGTCTTTTCGGACAACCTTCTGGACAAAGCCACAAGGGCTGAGGCAATCTATACATAATAAGGATTTAATGTGATAAAGTGTTTACATACAGAAACACAATAAACAACTAATTTATATTATTTTTTATTTATTAATCTTGGTAACTATAATAATAAAAGCATAATATGCTAATTAGACCAGACAGCCGAATGACCTTCCAGATGTCTTTTCGGACAACCTTCTGGACGAAGCCACAAGGGCCGAGGCAAGCTGCCGCGGATGCAAGGGCCAAACCCCTTGCACAAATTTCGTGCATTGAACTCTAGTCTCAAAATAAGATGCAATGCAATGCTTATAGTGACAATTTAATATACTCTGCAGGAGGCAGCCGATCATTGATTCTCTCTCATCATTGTTTCTCTCTCTCCCTCTCCTTTCCTCTCTGAAATTAATAAAAATATTTAAAATTTTAAAAAATCTATACATAATAAGGATTTAATGTGATAAAGTGTTTACATACAGAAACACAATAAACAACTAATTTATATTATTTTTTATTTATTAATCTTGGTAACTATAATAATAAAAGCATAATATGCTAATTAGACCAGACAGCCGAATGACCTTCCAGATGTCTTTTCGGACAACCTTCTGGACGAAGCCACAAGGGCCGAGGCAAGCTGCCGCGGATGCAAGGGCCAAACCCCTTGCACAAATTTCGTGCATTGAACTCTAGTCTCAAAATAAGATGCAATGCAATGCTTATAGTGACAATTTAATATACTCTGAAAGTAATTGGCAATTCCCATAAAGACTATCATTTTGGAAGCCATAGAAAAAAATGGCTTACAAAGTTCAGGACCAAATTCAAATTCTGCATATTTCTTTTTATCTTAGACAACAGTAAATCTATACCTTAATCCAAGCAAATGCACATGAACAAATTTTCTTTAGTCTCACAATTACTGAGTTTCCAAGTCTCCTCCAGAAGTTCTATCTTATTACTTTGTATTACTGCCCAAGGCTGACCCTAAAAGCTCAATTTACTAGAGTCATTAGAGGTGCCAGACAAATAAAACACTAGGTAATAATTTGCCAGTCTCCCTTCCTCCTCAGCTTGTAAAATGAGGTGTCTCAAGGGGAGGTGTATTAGAATCATCTGGGAAGCTTTTCCAACCTACACTTATGTCCCATTCTCCTCTCCCTCTTGCAAAGCATTCTTTTAGCCAAGGACTTCATTCTGTCCCACATAAATCGTTTTTTTATTGATTTCAGAGAGGAAGGGAGAGTTAGAAACATCAATGATGAGAGAGAGAATCATTGATCTGCTGCCTCCTGCATGCTCCTCACTGGGGATCAAGCCTGCAACCTTGGGCATGTGCCCTTGGCTGGAATCGAACCTGGGACCCTTCAGTCCGCAGGCCGACACTCTATCCACTGAGCCAAACCGGCTAGGGCTGTCCGTCTTTTTAAATCCAGCTCAATTTAAGATTGAGGGGCTAAAAACAATTGAATTTGGAAGACACTGGCTTTGTCACAACTGGTTGGGCAAGTCACTTAACCTTTCTGGTGTCAGTTTTTCCTTTGATTTTTGAGGTTCCCTTCCAACTTTGAAATTCTATGACAGCATATCGTATCTAAGAAGCTTTCTGAATTCCTAGCATAGAATGACTTGTCATTTCTTAGTTTTCTAACAGCCTGTGCAATGTGACATCACCTAGTTATATACTGTCTTATATTGCCGTCTAGTTGTTTTTACATGAAAAATTTTTTTCTTTTCAACTACATTTAATTTAAAAGCTTATTTTCCAGGCCAGAAAATAAGCTTATTTTCTACTTATCTTAAATCTTCTAGGGCAACTTGGGGTGTATCCTAAGGTAATCAGTATACTAGTATATTTATAATGATTTGTTCAAAACAATGACACCCCCAATTGTATTTTTACATCAGCACTGTCCAGTAGAAATATAATGTAAGCAACAAATGCGAGTCCAATATGTAAATTTAAGTTTTCTAGTAGGCACATAAAAAAAGTGAAAAGACACAAGTGAAATTAATTTTAATAATTTAACCCAATATATACAAAATATTTCAACAACGTAGTCAGTGTAAAAATTATTGATATAGTCTTGTTTCGTAATAACTTTTCAAACTCCGGTGTCTGTTTCACATTTACAACACATTTCAATTAAAAATGGGCATATTTAAGTACTCAATAGCCCCATATGGCTAGTGGCTACGTATTGACACTGAGCACTTCATAAGTACTAACTGGGCTAGCCAGAGGGTTGCAAAAATTAATCAGACTCATTCTAGTAAGGGAGATACACAGATCTGTAGATGCAGAGAACTGTGCTTGGTGGGGGGGCGGGTGTCAAGGAAGGTTTCACAGAGGAAAACTTTTTAAAGGCAGTGTGTGGGAGGAAGGGTGGCCTGAGGCGGAAGTGGGCGGGAGAGGATTGGGTGGGAGGATACCGGAGCTCCAGCTGTGGAGGCGCTACTTGCACTCGGCACTC